ATCAAGCACAATAAAAAATGAAACAGGATACCAAATGTCTAATTCTTTATCATATTCGTCTGCACTAAATATGAATTCTAATGAATCAATCCTTTCATTACTTCTCCTTATAATAAGGAGGAGATTTCATTATTTTTCTAATCCTATTCCTAGAGGCTGAAGTCAACAAATATTTAACTAACACAAATAGTTTTTCTTTCCAACTCTTTGGGCAAAGCATTTTGAAATGATAAATGGGACAAGCCTCACAGAGGTTCAATTGTGTTATATAAAATGTTTATGCAAATGTCAGCTATGGATTTTAAACAATAACACAATTTCTTCTTATTCACTCTTGTTAACTTCAGTGTGCAAATTTACATTATGGGTAACATGTTCCTTTAACAGACATTTTAAGCATGATTAGACATTGCTTCCTCAAGGCATATTTTACCATGATGATTCTTTTTCTGTTATGGGGTGAATAAAAATTATCAGCTGACATTTGGTGTAGTTTCACCACAGTTGCTGTCTTTAGCCATTATATACACCACACAACAAATGACCCTTATTTTTAACTACTCACAGAAGTGTATATGTTTAAAGCTCACATCATTTAGATAAACTTCTATTTAGCTGGGCAAATGTCACATTTGGTGGTTTCACATCCATGTACTTGTCAAAATATTTTAGAATGTTAGAATATTTTTTTCCTTAAGATATATTTTATTTATTTAAAAGGAAGAGTTAAGGGCAGGGGTCAGGAAAGGGGAAGAGAAAGAGAGAGAGAGGGAGGAAGAGAGAGAGAGAATATTCCTTCTTCTGGTTCACTTCCTAAATGGCTGCAACAGCTGGGTCTGAGCCAGTCTGAAGCCAAGAACTAGGAACTTCTTCCTGGTCTCCTACCTGGGTGAAGGGAGCCAAGTACCTGAACCATCCTCCGCTTTCCCAGGCACATCAGCAGGGATCTGGATCAGAAGCTGAGCAGCCAGGACTCAGACAGGAGCCCATATATGTCAGCACTGCAGGCAGTGTAGTAGCTTTACCCACTATATCACAACACTGGCCTTGGAAAAGGTTTGAAAACTGGTTCCACATACATTTTTGTAAGTGCAATTACAGTCATTTAAATATTGAGCATACTTAGACAGGTATCTAGCACACAATAAGATGACACTTGGGACACCCATATCTATACTGGGATGCCTGGCTTGGCTCCACTTTCAGCTTCTTGCTAACGTGCGGCCTGGGCTAGGAGGCTGCAGATGATAGCTTTGGGTCCTGCAACTCATGTGGGAAACTCAAATTGAATTCTCAGCTCCTCCACTTCTATCTGGGCCCTTTCCTGGGTATTGTGGACATTTGGGGAGTGAACCTACACGTGGAAGATATCCCTCTGTGTCTGGATGCCTTTCAAACAAAATAAAAATTACAAATTAAAAAATATATACTAAAATATAAAAACAAAAACAGTACAAATTCAAATTATTTTTATGGTCTAGTTATAAATAAAATACTGCACTTGCAATTCATATTTCACATTCATATTTATGACTTTTGAAGAACATAGGCTCTGATCAGATTTAAACTTGAGTTCCTCCCCTTACCAGCTTGGGAAAATTATTGATTTTCTCTATATCTCAATTTTCTGTTCTATGAGATAGGGATAATTTTGTCTATCTCCTAGAATATGAAGAATAAATGAACTATTTTAAGTGGTAAGAACAATAACTAACACATGGTAAATACATGGGACAATATGACTTGTGATTTCCATGATTATTATTGTTGTTGTTGTCATAATTAATACTATGTTTGCCAAAATTTATTTCCTTATGATCTCACTGCACACAGAATTAACCAGAAACTTTTTTGAGATACTCCTTATTATTGAAATCTTTCCAAAGTAAATTCTCACATTTTCTTGCTCATAAGCTCAGGATAAACTTTACCTTTTTTTATCACATAAGATCCTCAGATGGCTGAGGACCATTATCAATTTTAATAATCACTAAGTTATCCTGGAAATAGAGAGGAGATGGAACTAAATGTTTACTAGTTTTAGAGCATTCCTTAAAAATGGGCAAGTGTATTTGTGTGCTGATGTTTAAACATGGATGTCATATGAGACTGCTTTACCTATTATTTTCTTTATTCCTTAAGGGCTGCTACTGTTGTTTTAAGTTAGCAGGTTAACATATAATTCTAATTTATAAGTCTCACATGTATAAAGGTCACAAAAAACTATAAAACTATATTCCAATAAACTCTCATTCTAATCTTCCTTTGTGTAATACTTCAAGAGAAAGAGAGAGAAGTTACAGAAATTATCACAGAACAAATTAACATATATTTTCCATAAGAAAAATATAAAATGCTTGTCTCTAGTTCCTTAGTGGAAAAAGGCATTTAGAAAATACAAGATATTCATCATCACTACTGGTCTGGGTGTCCACAGAATAATCCTTTCTCCTGATGCCAAACGGCAATGTGCCCAGCAGAGGAATCCTCTGTTATCACACTGAAGACGTCTCTGCGTGACAGTAAAAACAGCCCAGGCAGCTCATTAAATACCAGCACATTCAACTACAGTCCTACTTTCAAGAGGAAGACAGATCACAGAGAAATTATTTGGCTATTTTTAAATATTTAAAGAAAAACAGAACTTCCAGCTTCCATTGTATATAAGAAGAATTGCTTGAAATACCTCCATAAACATATGCCACAGCATTAAAGCCTATTAATTTTACTGGAAATGAATCATGAGGTACCAAAATGTCTGCACATACGATTGGTATTCATTTCCCATAAAAAGTGGAACCATTTTCATGCATCCTAAAAAGACACTTTCGTTAACGAAATTCTGCATGTCTCAAGTAAATGGAATGTTGGATTTTTTATTCCAAACACAAGAAAATTAAATAAAATTAGGTTTCTGCAGTAATATTTCACTTTGCAACAGATTTTTCTCTAGCACACAGGAAAAAAATCCTTTTTTCCTTCCAAAAGCAAATTTCAGTACCAAGAGCCAAGCCAAGGAGTTGCTGGCTTATCAGGAGCCATGAGATTGTTCCACAAACCCTGTCTGAAACTCAGTCAACAGTAGCGTCACTATCAATAAGTGCAAATTACCACGTTGGCAAAGTCTCTTACCTACAGTTTATGAAACGTCTTAATGACAGAGTAGGGTGATTAGGCTGAGACGATACTCAACACATACACGCTGTTTAGAGGCCATCACGCCAACTCATTCGCAGTTTCAATGATTTAGACATATATCATATATTTCAGTAAGCTAAAATCTGAACATAACATCAACTAGAGGATGGAATCCTATAGTCACAAGCAACTTGTGAGAAAATTTCCTCATTTGTATTCCCTTATTTGGGATGTGGGGAGGGGGTTGTTTACTTTTTGGGTATTTCATCCCTGCACCAGAGACACTCTGTGCCATGTCTGTCTATTTGTCAAGTAATAGTTCTGTCTGCCTCGCTTTCCTCCGTGTCTTTACACCATATTCCTTGTGCAGACAGGTCTCCTGAGAGAAGACGACTCAGGGTCAGTGCACTATACACAAATATACCATGAAAAAGATGTTTAGAATATTTATCTCTGCCAGAGAAAATATAGTTTTCCATTTATTTACCTCTCTTCTCCTTAACCTCGGACTTAAAATTATGACATAAATTATTTTCTGGTTTTTAATCACTCCTGGGCAGAGTCAGATATTTATGTAGTATTCTGCCCTTAGGCAGCTGGTTTATTCCTTTCTCAAATACTTATTGGGAACTTACAATATCCCAGGTACTGCTCCATTTACTATAGTCACTGATCTAAGGATATCAGCTACCAGTTATAAAGCAATAAAGTAGTTTTGAAAAATTCAATTGTATTGGGTTTGGATCTCCATCATTCTGAGATGCATGCAATGCATGGCTGAGCCTGTCCCCTTTTTAACTATAGGTTCTAGGGGGCTAGCTGTCCTGTTTAAACCCATTCATTCCTGGTTGGACTTGGTAGGGTCCATCTCCTGGAACTTGTCTGCTCTGAAATAGCCATAGAAACAACACTGGGCCATGTGCCTAGTCAAAATTTCCAGGTCAGAGGCAAAAATTCAAGGAATGACCCTATTGATTGTCACACATTCAAGGAAATCAGGGCAGTAGAATACTGGGGATAAGGGCCTTGTTTCTCCATCCTTGCCTCTCAAGACTGACCTGTTGGCCTTTTCTTTGCCAGATTGCACCCTTACAACCACCCTGCAGAAGTCAAACAATGTAGTCACTCCATTTCAGGGTAAAGGATGGACATCAATAGCAATTCCTCATACCTTGAGCTCATTATTGTGAGGTTTTACTGTACCTTCCTGAATGACACCTTTGAGAAATTTATAATATAGTTTTATATTCAGGCCCAGAGTATGTACAAATTAAGAAATGTTGCTTGGAAATGTTTTTCTCCAAAAGCACCATGCTTTTTCTGACTCAGGTGTCCCAGGTTAGATCAAAGAATCTAACAGGAAATGGAAATGGCAAAAATGGATACAAGGGTTTCTTCTGTATTTCAAAGACAGTATGACTGTTAGCTGGGTTCTAATAGCTTGTGCCTCCATTCTAATGCAATAAAATACAAACACATTATCAGTTATTAAGAATTATACTTTTGCTTTTTTTCATTCACTGTTTCTTCCACTCATATTAGCACCCAGATAGATTTATATCAAGTTGAAATTTATTTCAAGATAACTAATTCTACAAAGAAGCAATAGCTCAGATTTTTTAAAAAAGATGTATTAACAATTTACAAATGAAAGAGCATTAACACTTGATGGAGATGATTATTTATTATTCCATTTGGCCAGCCTAACTAAATCATACATTCTAAAATTCTAACCTTTGCTATCTCTGTAAAGTCTGTGGAAGTTTCTGTAGCCCAGAAACTATTTCAAGCATTTTCTCTAATGAAACTTAACACTTATGCCAAAAACACTGTCCAAGTTCCAAAAGCACAAGAATACTTACTTGTTTAGCCTTTGTCTTTGAGATGGTGTCAGAAATAGGTTTCTTTCTCTCTTTTACAGCTGTCTTAGAAAATAATTCCTCAAATTCATGACAGTCTATGGATGGCTCCTCAATTTTTTCCCAAATAAGTGAAGGACTGGAATCTCTAAAGTTAAGCGAAACAATAATGAAAGGGCCTTCAAGTCAAACTACGTATCATGGTAAGCATATACTACATATCAAAGTGAGCACAAACAGAATGGAAGAAGGAAAGGAGGGGAAGGAACAGGCCAAAGGAAGATAGGGAAGGAAACGGGAAAGAGAAAAGGAGGAAAGAACATTTTGTTTTGTCAACATGATGAGAAAATTAAAATACTATCCATATAGAATGACAAGAATAATTTCTAGGAATCTCAGTTATTAAGCCACTCATTGTCCAAGAACATACAAGGAAAACCCCTCTTGGTATGGGTTAAGATGACAAGAAATTCTTGGTATCTCTTATATACCTAGGCTCATCAGTCTTGTAGATTAATCAAAGATTTAAAAATGTAAGTTTCCAAGACTGTATCTTCTCTCTCCACATGGCATTCCATCATCCCACTATTATTTAGCTTCTTAGTGACTACACTTTCACGTAGTACAACCCAAAAAGGATAAATATATTTTTAAAGTAGCAAAACAAAATACAGAAGAAAAAAATCTTCATAATATGGATCTAGAGAAATGAGTTTGGGACACAGTTTAAAATGGTTCATCATCACATATAAGTGACATAGCAACTGCACAGAGAATGAATTGCAAGGTTAAAAATAGGCAGGAAATACAGATTATTGCCTCTTGGTAATAATTTAATGAACAGAAAATTAACATAAATTATGAAAAATGAGCCCCCATTTAAAAAAAAAAAACTATTTCTAAACACATGCCATATCACCCAAAGGAAACTCAAGGAATCATGACGAGTTAGACAAGGAAGGACAATGAAGTGTATATTTTTTCCCTACTCACCCTCCTAAACAATTCACATTCAAGTATTGTAGCATTGCTTAGTGACTGCACAAAGCAAGCTATGGACTATGCACAGATGAGTCAAATGCTACCAGCAGACCTAGTGAAAGGATTATTTTATGATGATCAATCTTAATTATAATTTTATGACTTCATATTATGTCACCAATCATTCATAAAGGTGTCGAGAAATTTTCAAAACTAAATTATGTTATACATGTGGATGTGTGTATTTTTGAGTAGTGTGTCTCAATAAGAAATATTATTACAAACATAGACTGGTAATGCAAACCCGTGTCTTTTAAGCAACACAACCACCATCTACAGAAGTCAGTTTGCCTAAGGATTTGATCTATATTTTTAAGCTTTTGTCAAAAATTTAAATAGTGAAAGCAACGAGGAGATTCTCATATGGGTAATCATTTGGATATAAAAGTCTGTGCTTACCTGTCCTCACTTATACTGAAGAACACATAAGCACAGTTTCAGTTGGATTCAGACATGAGTAGTAGTGAAATGTCGCAACTAGGTGACAGAGCATTTATGCTAAGAAAAACAGAGCCTGGGTATTTAGATAGCTAGCCTATCTATCTGTAAGAGATATTTCAATAACTATAAGTGGATATATTTATATCTTATACATTGACATACATATATTTACAGATGTTATTTGTCTTATTGCTTTCCTAGTTGAGAAAGGCTTAACATTTTAAATAACAAATTGTTTCACTAAATATTGATATAAAAATATACAGAAAAGTTTTACAATGTACTAAAAAAGACACATTAAATTATAATTTTCCCAAAAGCTTTATGTCACAATGCTTCCCTCATACCAACAAAGTATGTAAAGACAAACTTGCTTTCTTGTTACCTTTTACTATGCAGTTGAATTCTCGTCCAATAAAGAGGCTTCATTGGCCGACAAGGTTCTATTGGCTGCTTCCTACTCCCTTTGTCTTGACTCATCCCTAATCCAAACAGGCCAGTTGGCAATGGAGGAGGAAGAAATCCACACACCTGTGGTGTCGATAAAGTGCTACTCCCAATTTGTGGGGCAAGTGAAGGTCCTGAACCAGGAAGGAGAGGGGGTGGTGGAGGTGGAGGGATTCCTGTCCCAGGGGGAGGAGCTGGAGCAGAAGGAATCCCCATACCTGGTAAAGGAGGAGGTGGAGGAATGCCAGCACCTGGCAGAGGAGGGGGAGGGGGTGGAGGGGGTGGAATTCCAGCTCCCAGAGTAGGAGGAGGAGGAGGAATTCCCACACCAGGTAGAGGAGGGATAGAAGGAATTCCCATACCAGGTAGAGGTGGGGGAGGAGGAATTTCCACACCAGGTAGAGGGGGGGCAGGAGGTATTCCCACACCAGGTAGAGGAGGGGGAGGAGGAATTCCCACACCAGGTAGAGGAGGAGGAGAAGGTATTCCCATACCAGGTAGAGGAGGAGGAGAAGGTATTCCCATACCAGGTAGAGGGGGGGCAGGAGGTATTCCCATACCAGGTAGAGGGGGGGCAGGAGGTACTCCCACACCAGGTAGAGGGGGGGCAGGAGGTACTCCCATACCAGGCAGAGGAGGGGCAGGAGGTATTCCCACACCAGGTAGAGGAGGAGGAGAAGGTATTCCCATACCAGGTAGAGGGGGGGCAGGAGGTATTCCCACACCAGGTAGAGGGGGGGCAGGAGGTACTCCCATACCAGGTAGAGGGGGGGCAGGAGGTACTCCCATACCAGGTAGAGGGGGGGCAGGAGGTATTCCCATACCAGGTAGAGGGGGGGCAGGAGGAATTCCCATGCCAGGTAGAGGTGGGGGAGGAGGAATTTCCACACCAGGTAGAGGAGGAGGAGAAGGTATTCCCATACCAGGTAGAGGGGGGGCAGGAGGAATTCCCATACCAGGAAGATGAGGAGGAAGGGGTACTCCCTCACCAGACATAGGAGGGAGAAGGGATGGTGGCGTTTCTGTAACTGGCAGAGGAGGAGGTGGGGGGATTGCTGTATTGGGCAGAGCAGGCACTGTCATGCCAGGGAGAGGGGGAGGGGGAGGGATTGCCATGCCCAGGCCAGGCATGGAGCTGGGTGTCTCTGTGCAAGGCAAAAGTGGTGAGTGTGGGATGTTACAGCTGTTTTCAGAAACAGAGTGTTCATGACTGTCTTCAAACTCAGTATGAAAAGAAGCATGGGGCTGTTGAGACCCTGGCTGTCCGTGACCATCAGATGATGGAAGGGATAAAGGTGGCAGGAGCTGTGATGCACTCTGTATGGACTGATGGGAATCGAGCTGTACTGATATTCTCCTTGGAGACACAATCAAAGAAATCTCTGAACAGAATTTTGTCTGTAATCCAGAAGGTGAGGATGGGAGAGCTGCTGCTCTACTTTCAGCTCTAGCTGAGCATGGAGGTTCCTCAGACAATGCATTCACAGAAGTTAGTGTCAGTATCCCCCCATCTTCTGTAGGGGATGTCTGTATGGATTTTGCCTGTAAAATCCTTTGAGGCCGTACATCCTCTTCTCCTAACCTGAGAGCTTCAAGACAGACATCTTCTGAGGGTGCCACTCCATTCTCAACACCTCGATGGCTACTGGCCAACTCCATGTCTACAGCAGGGAACTGCTTCTCCAGCTCAGCTATTTTGGTCCTCAGATTCTCAATGGTCTGTTCCAGCTGCTGAATGACAGTTGCCTGTCCCTCAGACCTCGTGTCAAGAACCTCCTGAGGAGCAACAAGGACAGGTGTAGTTACATATGAGATTAGGAAGAATCCAAATGCCAAAAGGAGAATTATAAGATTAAGCAAAAAGCATATCATCTGTTGTAATGTTTCTGGAAAGATCCTTCTACAGAAAGATACTATAAATATTTCTACGCATCTACCCTTGGCTTTAAAAGTGGTTTACACACATTACCATAGGGTCCTAAGGTTATTGCTGTCTCATCTTTGAATGATATCATTGGAGATATGAACACCACTGAGAATGAGGAAGAAAATTTTGAGTGGCAAACTATTTTATTTCTAAAATAAGATTCTTTCTCTCATGCCTCGTGACATAGTAATATGTTCCCTTAAGACACTTTAATGGCAATCCTGAGTTTTAAAAGTAATCACTACCATTTAAAAGTAATCACTGAATGAGCCTCTAAGAATATGCAAAGCGTCTTTGACATCCATATGGGCATGAGCATACCCCAGTGAACATGAATAGTACCAATTATATCATGTTTGTTATAATTTTAACATTTTACCCAAGATATTTTCAAAACTAATAACTGATTATTCTTCACAATTTACAAACATGAATCCTTTAAATAGGCAAACTGTTGAGAAGTAATTTATATGTAAATTTATATACACATGGGATCTTCAAAAATTCATGAAAAATGTATTATGAAAAATTTATGCATGGATTTCAATTGTTTTTGCACCAAGGTAAACTTACCTTTTAATTCCTTTTTCCAAGTGCCTCATATATGTACACACACACATGCACACAACTCTTAAGTCACTACATTTCATCAGTGTCTACACAAAAAACTCAAGTATTAAAATATACAGTTTGAAAATAGTACCATATATTTTCTGACTAGTACATGGTAAAATAAATAACTATAAATATTTTTATATCCTGTTTCTCCACTATACTTAATTTCATTACTCAATTATGACCCCAGTAAGAATAAGAAGAAACTGGAAACCAAAAAACTAGCTCCCAAATTCATTGTAATAAACACTACAACTATTCAATATTTCCTTGTTATATTGGATTAGTAAAATATATAGGTTATTTTAATTTACCCAGTATACCTTAAAATTGACCTTTAATCATTAGTGAGTATTTCTTGGGTTATGCTGGTGTATAACTGAAGTTCTCATTCTCCCATTCATACCCATCAAAGGAAAATGTTAGATGATGGGAGCAGGAAGTTGGCATAGCAATTCAGGTGCCAATTAAGACTTCCCATATCCCACATCCCAATACCAAGCTCCAACTCCTGATACCAGTTTCTTGCTAATGCAGACTCAGGGAGGCAGCGGTCATGGCTCAAGTAGTCGCATTCCTGACAGCATGTGGGGGAACCTAGATTAAATTCCTGGCTTCAGTCTTCAGCCCACCCAACCATTGAGACTATCTGGGAAGTGAACCAGAAGAGAGGAATTTCTCCCCACCACCTCTTCCTCCTTTCCTTCCTATCTCCCTTTTTCTCTTTTTGTCTCCCTCCTCTCCTCCCCTACCCCCCTCTTGAAAAATTAAATTAAAAAATTGAAAATATGAGTGGGCATTTGGCCTACTGATCAAGTTAGGCTAGGATGCTCGTACCAGGTATTGAAATGCCTGGGCTTGGTGCCCACCTCTGGATCTGTCTCCAGCTTTCTGCTAATGCACAGCCTGGGGAGGAAGTAGTGATGACTCCAGGAATTGAATGCCTGACACCCATGTGGGAGACCTGGATTGACTTCCAGATTCCTGGCTTCAGCCCTCCCAACTCTTGTTCATCAATTGAGGTCATCTGGGGAGTGAACCAGCAGATGGGAGCTCTCTTTCCCTCTGTAGTGCTGTCTCTCAGATAAAAAATTAAAAATTAAAATTAAAATTAAAAATAAGGGTTAGTTGAGGAATGACATGCAAAAAGTAGATTCTCAAAGAGTTTTCCAAAAACTCAATTTTTAAAAGCTATTACCTAAGCCAGGTCTTTTCATCATAGACTTGGATATGATGAAAGCAATATTAGGAGGAAAAAACTGTGATGAAGAAACTGATACTAAAGTTATAATAACTTAGTACAGTAGCAATTAGTTTAACACTTTCTACATTGATTTATGAACCCACAGTCACAGTAAAGCTGGTCGGACACAGCACCCAAAGCTGGGGGAAACAGGTCATTGTGTCATTGACTAGGAAGATTCCTGGGGTATTTGTTATCCTTTCTTAATTAATATTAATTATAATAATTAATTAATTATCCTTTCTTAATTAATAGTCAGAAAAAAGATCCCACATCTGATAACTGGTACCAAAATTAACAGTCTCAAGTGGAATCCACTTAAGACAGTTTCAAAGTTACTTTGAATTGGCTCTCCCAGTTTCTACTGCTTCTTCTACTTGTAGAAGTGCACAGAAAAATGGCATATACAGGTTCAGCTAGATTCATCCAAATAGATGTGGTCACACAGAAATGTAGAAAGCAGAATTAGGTGAGGACCACAATGCTGTGTTTCCTGACTACTCTCTTTTTTTTTTTTTTTTTTTTTTTTTTTGACAGGCAGAGTGGACAGTGAGAGAGAGAGACAGAGAGAAAAGTCTTCCTTTGCCGTTGGTTCACCCTCCAATGGCCGCCGTGGCCGGCGCGCTGCGGCCGGCGCACCGCGCTGATCCGATGGCAGGAGCCAGGAGCCAGGTGCTTTTCCTGGTCTCCCATGGGGTGCAGGGCCCAAGCACCTGGGCCATCCTCCACTGCACTCCCTGGCCACAGCAGAGGGCTGGCCTGGAAGAGGGGCAACCAGGACAGAATCCGGTGCCCCGACCGGGACTAGAACCCGGTGTGCCGGCGCTGCTAGGTGGAGGATTAGCCTAGTGAGCCACGGCGCCGGCCCTGACTACTCTCTTATTAATCAAGATCTGAAAACTTGAAAATTTTTCTGAAGCATTCCAGTGCCCCCCTTAGACAATTTGCAAGGGTGACCTCAAAGGTTTTAGCTTCCCTGGTAGACCAAAGATTAAGCATCTCTTTGAAAAGTTTCATTTTATAAGTAGATCCTTCAAATTCTCCAACTTTTGCACAAAAGAACCTAACTTTATATAATAAATCCTTCTGTTAAATACACTTAGAATGGTGTTTGGTTCCTGCAATAAGGACAGACTGATATAAGCTGGTTCTAATATTTCAAAATAGATTGAGAAAAAAAGATTCTTATTTTAATTTTAATTAAATCTTAATTTACTCTTAATTTTAGAAATGGGCAAATTGTCAGTGTGTATTTTATCTGTTCATATCTTATATATTTTAAACAAAGTATTGAGGGCACTTAGATAACAAAATGTTGAGAAAAACATAAACTAATATACTTCACAAACATCAAGGATTTTCAAATATACAGTAAGAACCAGAACTAATAACTGATATAGGAAATAGTGATAAGATGATGGAATTCCAAAACTCAGTCTAGAATAAAAATGGCTATCTAGCCTCATGGTTCCAGGAAGGTGGCAGACTCACAGAATTCAAAAAATGATAACAATGAACAGATGACAAAGGATTGAAATGTTTATATAAAGAACTCTTCTGTACAGATCACTTTTATAGATAAGACAATATGGAAGAAAAGTTGGAATAAAATAAAAAAACACACAAAACCAACTTGTTAGAATCTTCACTGCCCTCTCTGACCTCTCTTTACCTGCACCACAAAATTCCAAGCCCTGACTCAATGTTACAATCTCCTTTTCCATTCCAGGAAAGCAGACCAATTAAGCACATATCAAACCTTAATTGACTCTGAAAAATGAAGTCAGCCATCCACCACTGCAGAATAGCCAAACTAGGGGTCTACAGAGTATATAGGATTCTGGGTTCTGAATTTAAGATTCTTCAAAGAATCTTATCTGGTCTCTCTTATCCAAGGCTATCAGTCAAGGGTGGGCTGGCTCTCAGACAGTACCAATTCACAAGTCAGCCAAGTCCTGTTCTGTATAGTTCTCCAGAGCCGCTGCAGGGCTTGTCAGGAGAAGAATTGATTTCTATATGGGTTATATATTTTTTTCAGGGATTTATGCAGATGTTTACAACGTAAATATTAGTCATTATCAAGAAAAAGGACTTTCTATTTTCGGGCCATTTAAGCAAACATCCTCTTTGCAGGAGCCACAGGAAGCTTCAAGGCCCACCCACGGACAGAGCCTAGATGTAATCTCTGAGAGACTGCCAGGCGCTATGTTGTCTATGGAAAGCCCTCAAGTTAGGAGTCTGCTCCCCTGCATGCAGGGCCTGGAACTTAATCTTCTGTCTCTCTGGGTAAAATGAGAGAGAACTATTAGATTCTCAAAGGACTTGACATTGGCGAAATACACTTTTCATTATCTTTATACTTCTTAGAGTCTTTTCAAAGAGACTCATCTTTCCAGTAATTGTGCAACAGTTTCCTAGACGTTAATGGTTCATACTATCAAAAATCAGATCGTTGTTTAAAAGAAAAGGAAATTAGTAATCTTGACAATTTTTCTATAGAACCTATATAATGGGCACATCCTTATAAATAAAGATAAATATATTTATAGTTAGTGAATATAAAAAATATATTCTAAATGCCATCAATTCTGTAGTTTGGTATCTAAAATATTGTTTAGAAGTCCTAAATCATTATAAGTGGTAGAGTCTGTCATTTACTTTGGCTCAACAATTATATACAATAAGTCAGCCAAAATTCTTCCATTCCTGTATAATCTTATATGTGGGTGGTGATGGTTAGTTCTTATAAATTATTTGAACACTTAAATATCATAAAAAACAGTTGCCATTAAAAAATAAAATGTTCACCAAAGATATTTTTCCAAATATAATATTATCTGATTTCCCCCTCAAAACAAAACAAAACAAGAAACATTACCAAATCATAAAGATTACAACTGTCAAAAAGGAAGCCAAGTTATACTCAGGTGAAAACTTTTGCTGAAAAGTTAACTTGCTTATCTTTGAAATTTGATCATGTTTATTATATAG